AGTGAGAAAACATGACTACATTTCTAAAGAAATACATAGCTGATCCAATAAATACAAAATTTGTGTAGAAGTAGATACATGTGATGTTAATTTTAAATATATTTAAGTTCAAGTTAGGAGAGGAGCCTGGCAGGCTGCAGCCCACGGGGTCACAAAGAGTTGGACAAACCGAGCAACTAAACCCAGCACAGCACAGGATAGGATAAGTAGGACAGCTCGAGTCCACTTCTCAAACTGGCCATTTCACAAGTGCACAAAATGGCAGAAGTTGAGGAAGTTGAGGACTTCCTGCCATGCCTTCAGTTCAGAAACTCTCCTCCCTGTCCCATGAAACTTATAAATCAGTCACATTCTTTCTTAGAGCCAAAGGACTATCATTGACACTCCAGAACACAAACATCTCAGAGAGTAAAGTAAAAACAGTCATGGTTTATGAATCACTAATTCCTTCCTGGAGACTAGTTTTGTTTCTGTTCTCATAATTGAGAAGATGTCAAGAATGAGGCTAAGTGCCTCATTCAGGCGGAGGCAAGATTTGGAAAATAAAGCATCACCTGGAAAGCAGATCCAGGTGATATGTTGGCAGGGCCTACAGTGAAGAATAAAGGGATGGGGCAGCTGGACAGCTACCAAACTGCAGAATGAAGTCAAGGGTGCCCTCAGCATCAACAACAGAGGGTGGAAAGGGAGGGAGTGCAAAGAAGCACAGGCTCAACCACCTCTGTTCACCAGCAACTCCCAAAGGCCACATGTGGCCAAGAAGAGCATCCCCTCGGGAGACCATCCCTCAAGACCTAGCTCAGGACCTTGGCTCCTTCCCAAGATGCTGAGGGGGTATAGAATAAGACAACCAGGTAAATCCAGAAGTCATGTCTGACTCTTTACTACCCTATGGGCTGCTGCCCACCAGGCTCTTCTGTCCATGGGATTCTCCAGGCAAGAATACTGGAGTGGGTTGCCATGCCCTCCTCCAGGGGATCTTCCCCACCCAGGGATCGAACCCATGTCTCCTAAGTCTCCTGCATTGCATGTGGATTCTTTACCCACTGAGCCGCCTGGAAAACCCAAAGGCAGACAGACCCAGACCCAAACAGGAGCCCTAGGTAAATAACTTCTAATTTTCCTGCTTGTCCTTCTTGCATCTTTCCCCATATATTTTCTCCTGGTATTTCTCTTCCATGCTATTTCCTTTCTTAGAAATGACCACCAATCACATACTTTATAAAACATTTTAAATAAAAGATAAATGTTATTAGATGCGCTAAACTGCCCCCATTCCCCCGCATCTCCCACCTCCCCACTGCATCTCCATTCACTTAGTTGCTGTGATCACACCCTTCTCTGTGGTTCAGGTCTTCAAGCTCAAAGCACAAGCATGTTCAGTCACCACGTTCATGTAAATTACACGGTCTATTCTAAAGCGCAGGCTCCTGCTCCCCGCCAGTAAGCTGAGAGCCCAAATCAAACGCTTTGGAAAGATGGCTCAGAAATCTACCATCCGGGGGTTTCTGACATACTCATGAGTACTGGGAGCACTCGTAATTTATTCAGGCATTCATCTTATTCCTTCTGCTTGACTATAAATTGCTTTGTGCAATTTAATAATTTAAATGTGTGTGTGAGTGCTCAGTCATTCAGTCACGCCTGACTCTTTGTGACCCCACGGACTGTAGGCCACCAGGCTCCTCTGTCCGTGGGATTTTCCAGGCAAGAATGCTGGAGTGGGTTGACATTCACTCCTCCAGGGAATCTTCCTGGACCCAGGGATCAGGAAGGTGGATTGGTAGGTGGATTCTTTACCCCTGAGCCACCTACTCACTCACAATACCAACTCTGACTCCTTTCTCCACAATTCCATGCACACAGTAGGTTTCTGATGACTATTAATTAAATAAATGTTTGCTATCAAGCCAAAGCCAGCTAGGATCCTACTGTTTAGACAGGCGAATGCAGGCAAGATAAGCCATTGTCTCCGCTGCAAAATCAGACACAAGTATCTGACACTCGGAACAGCTCCAACAAGCATCCTAATGGTATGCAGCGGATCGTACAGTTAAATAACTCCACTCCAAACAGAAAAAAATAGTGGCAGCAAGGGAGGAGAATACACAAAGACCCAGCTGCCCGCAACATGAATAGCCTGGCAGGGTCATCCCGCCAAGGACCCACGGAGAATACAGATCAGAGGGAAATGGGAAATCTGAGAAGAGCCAGGGCCTTGACCTCGCTCACCAGAATCCATTTGCAACTCCCCTTTCCTTTGCTTCCTCCTGCCTCTGTCCCTCCCCAAACCTAAAGTTATGCAGGCACAACTTGAGAGCTGTGAGGCAAAAAGAACCAGCACTGTGTGGAGGAAGGAGGGTCCCCTGAAGCTGGCCCTGCAGCTGGGCCCCGGCTACATTGTGCTCATTATGCCTGGCAGGCCGGAGCCCGGGAGGGAGATCCTTCTGCAGCTGGCATTTTGGGAGCTAAGTAACTGCCAAGAATCAGAAAGGAAACAATACACTAAGTAACAAAGAATGATCTAAAAAAAAAAAAAAAAAAAAACGGGGGCGGTCTGAAGATTTTAAACCAAAATTTCAAGGCTCAAAAATCTAACTTTGTTTTGTTGTTTTTGAACCAAAGACTATGACTCTGAACACAAAGGTGACATTGTCCCTGAAAATGAAAGGCTGAGACTCCAGTATATTTGCAGCTAAAATTTAAATATGTAAAGTGGATTCAAGTGCACAGTCTAAAGAAGGATACATTAGAGGTTTTCATCCTTGAAACAGAATAGAAAAGCTGGAAAGTACCTCAAGAAGTGTTAGCCCAGATGCCTGATTCTAGGATTATGATTATCTGCACCTGGAATCTCCTCTTCAAGATTTCTAGGGCTGGAGAGGTCATAAATTTTTTATAGCCCAGTGGAACGTGGTTTTCACCTTGAATGCATAAGTTCTTCCCTGCATTTAGCTGAAACCACTGCTGACTTCTCTTTGTCTAAATAGCCCTATAGACCAATGCCTGGGCGACTCTCACTCTCTTTGACATGCTCTTCTCAATTCCTTCTATGTCTTGTTCAACATCCCTCTAGAGGTAAAATAAATGAACATGATCTAAAGCAATGCATAGAGAGAAAAATTACCCCGTGAATCTGGAATCCTATATTTCTTATTAGAAATGTTATATTATCCTAGCAAATATTCCTCCTTCTCCCTCCCCCAACACACACACACACATACACACACACACACACACACACACACACACACACACACACCCATCCCTCTTTTGTATCTGGGACTGCATTGTTAGGTCTTTTTATTCTGTAGCTGCATTTTCCCTCCCATTTAAACATGCCCTGCAGACTTTACCAAACTCCTTATACTTGTTCCTACTGATTTCATCATGCTTTTGAGGGACCACTGTCCCCTCTCTAACAGGAACAGAATTCAAAAAGACTTCAGGAAATCTCCAAAGGAAATATAACCTAATTTGATTTCTTATCACTTTACAATTTAATGAGTAGTTTTAAAATTCCTTCACATCATCAATTCACCAAAAGCACTGCATACAAGGGGACCAAAGGCAATTCCGTGGGGTCGCTCTCCTCTGCTGAAGCAGAGCCACTGGCCACTGCTTTTGAGAAGCTAGATGCTCACCTTAGCAGAGTTATCGTTTGATTTTTTTTTTCCCCCAAATGGAGTCATTTAACTCGTTTGCCTGAATCCCTCTGCTACTTCTCCCTAGAAATTCAAACCAAATCTAAACTCCTGCCCATAGTATCAAAGCTCCCTATACCTGGACCCCCACTGGACTCCACTACAAACCACAACTTTCTGACCTTCTCACATTCACTGGCCCACTCTTTTCTGTCTAAAATGCACAAGACCAGGGACTTAGCTCTCTTGCTCCCTCTGCCTAACAGATACTTCCACAAGTTCTTCACAGACTGACATTCTCATCAGCCAATGTTTGTTCATCTGTACTTTTCCCTCTCTCCTCCCCCAAGGAACAGTTAAGCCCATAAAGATGCTGGGGTTGGGTAGGGGCTCTGGCTCTCATCATCTCCACTGCCACTGAGCACATCCAGGGTATTTGTGCGATGAATGGACATGTGTGAGGTTTCGTGCAAATACCATCACTCAGGCTTGCTCCAATCTGACCACAACTATGCAAGCACTGGGGAGGGGACAGAATATTCTGGTGAGAAGATCAATGGATCTTTGCTTCCCTAACCCAGAAAGCAATAAGGGAAAGAGTGTACTATGAGCTTTTAAAAGAAATCCACAAGCAAACATGCATTTTCCTGCCCCTTCATTTACTTTCAGGACTGAAAACAAATTTCTGATGACAAAATATGCATGGGACATATTTTCTTTGTTACCTCTAAAGCAATGACTATATTCATCAACACATGTAAAAAAGAATACTATGTGAGAAAGAAGCCAAAAACTTACCAAAATTATGTCTTTCATTTCTAGTTCTCTTTCCAAGTCAGCATTATGGTTTACATAAATGAAAAACACTTTTTAAATGGATTCTGAGGCATGAATACTAGAAAAATTTTAAGAGCTACAGCAAAATGAAAATGTAAATTTACCCCCAAAGGATTCAGAGTACAACTACTGAGAAACTTGTTTTGCTCTTTGGTCTTTAAGATATATCTCATTCAGATTGCAAATACAAAGGGAGGAATTATCTTTAAGGACATAATTTTTCTTGCCAAGCCCAACGTTCCACAGGGCTACAGAAAATATAGGCAGTTACTATTTCATTCACACATGGTAAAACTCATGTCTTTAGTGTGTACCACCATATGATGAAGAGTGTTATATCATCAAGAAAGATAAAGTGGGGCATAAATTCATACTACCATTACTCACTGAGCTTATTCTGGTAGTCATTTGACATCTTCACTCTTTACAAAAGTTATCACTATGACACAAGTGCCTTAAGGCTATGCATCCTCTTGTCTGTCCCACCAACAGGTTCCCTGCTGGCCATGAGCCTCCTACCTTGCAGCCACTCTGAGTCCTGGTCTTCATCAGGGGCGTGGTCGTGCACAGCTCGATGGCCTCTGGCTCATGGAAGATGACTGCTGGCAGAGGTTCCTTTTTCAGTGTTAGGACATTCAACTTAGACTTCAGCATGGTCTGAAAGTGCTGAAAAGCAGGAAAAAACAAAAAGGCCAAACCGAGTGAAATCATTTGGAATTGTACAAGGCGCCATCACACAGCAAAGTCAGGAGCAAACTTTTTGTTTTACTAATTCTATTTTTACTAGGGCAGGCCAAAAGGTTTGAGTAAAATGAAAGAAAAAATCTGTCAGGATACTACCAAAATGAAACTATGGGAGACAGCCAATACCCACTCCTATGCCATGAAAACATGGGACAGTGGTAGTCTTGCCAGAACTTTGTTCTCAGAGGTTCTTCCAAAGTGATATGTATGGATGAGATTCTAGATATGTAATCCATGCTAAAATCAGCTAAATAAGTGAAGGTGTTACAGGAGCTAGTTGAAGGAAAGTTTAGAGATAATGAAAAAGAACTGATGAAAAACACACATACTTGACTTTTGTTGTCTGCCTTTTCCATTTGTGTCATGCCTTGGCTGTAGATCTTTAGAAAACCAGCTGCTTCTCAACAGACCATTTTATCTGTTGTCTAGGCCAGGACTCTAAGTAAACATCTAGTCTACATTCAATTCTTATTGGCACTAACTTTGAAATATGCCCAGAATCTAACCACATTTAATCACTATTGTTTTTATATATGTACAATTCAGGCACCATCTTTGTTTGGTCTATTATAGCAGCTTCCAACCTAGTCCTGCCACTTCCAGCATTGCCACACAGCAGTCTAAGGGAATCCTTCTAGAATCTAATCAGCTGTCACCCTTCTTGCCACAAGATTCCCAAGTCTTCCCCTCTTCTCATCAAAAAATTATAAGTCCTTACTTTGGCCTTCAAGCCTACGCATGCTTCAGGAACCCAAAGAAGCTCTAATCTCATTTCCTACCCATTATCCTCTCATTTACTTGGGCCCAGTAAATGGTGAATGACAAATTCACGTTAATAATTTGAAAGTTAATTTTTCTTTAAACTTGTAACACCATTAAACAGCAAGCTTTAAAAAAAAAAAAAACCATAATTATTCCAAAGAGAGATTCATGGAAGAAAAGGAAAAAAGCTTATTTTTAGTACTTTTAATGGCACTTTTTTCTACTTTTTGAATGGAGGACATTGATTTTCATTTTGCCCTGGGCCCCACAGATTATGTAGCTAAGCTTGGTACACATAAATCCTCATAACTATTTCCTTCCCCTGCTTTATTATTATCACTACTTATCAATACTATGAAATGTGTTTTATTACCATCTACTAGACTGCTACTACTACCATCTACTATTATTCTATCACCATCCACTAGAATATAAGCACCATATAAGTAGAAACTCTTTTAATTAATGAAGTCTCCCAAGTACCTAAAACATCAACTGAAATATCACAGATGTCCCACAAGTATGTGTGGAAGGTAGTTCAGACACTAAAATGAAAAAAAAAACAAAACAAAACCACAGCTCAAATATAAAAGTAATGATCTCTACCAAGGATCATGGAATATACCAGCTCACAACTTCATCCAACTTGACATTTCTGAACATGTTATGGACCGTGAAATAAACATGGGACTGAAAGAAGTGAATACACAAATTGTTGCTATTGTTATTTAGTTGTTAAGCCACTTTCGACTCTTTTTGCAACCCCATGTACTGTAGCCCACTAGGCTCCTCTGTGGGATTTCCCAGGCAAGAATACTGGAGAGGGTTGCCATTTCCTTCCCCAGGGGATCTTCCTGACCCAGGAATCAAATCCACATCTCCTGTATTAGCAGGCAGATTCTTTACCACTGAGCCACCAGGGAAGCCGGAATACACGAGTACATTCACCTAAATATAAATTGCCAAAAAACATTTTCCATACAATTCAATATAAAGGAAGTGGAAGTTTTGGAATCTGTATCAGGACAAGGCCTTCATTTTAAAATGGAAAAGAGACTTTCACTCAATTTTCCCAAGGATACTGATGTACAGTTTTTTAAATGTAAGGATGTCTTCCTGATGACTGCATAAATTGCAAGTCTTTGTATTAATCTGAAGTTTCCATCTTTGCTCCTAATTGATTCCCAACCAATAGAGGGTATGTATTTGGGGTTGCAAGGTGGTCTGGGAAGAGAAACACAGATCACTGGGAGTGACAGCTGAAGTTGGTTTGCCTCTGTGGACAACTAACTGGAGCCACAGAATGAAGACTAAAGGGAGAGGGGCTCAGAAGACGGGATAATGAGCAAGTGGGGACACTCCACCCTGGCCACCATTTTGCTGGGGCTCCATGAGAGATACATGAAGCTGAAGCTCAACTCAGCTTGACTTCTGCCACACAGGAAGGTCCTGAAGATGGCACTAATGGCCCTATTCTTATGAGGGTTGGACAACCACAGTACCCAGAAGTTCTGAGTATCTTTCTTTCCCCACTGACATTACTGTCAGAACCAAATGGTTCAATCACTAGGCACAAGAGAGACTGGAAATCACAGTTACATGTGCATCCCCCTTGATTACTTGCCTGGGAGCCAAGCAGAAGAAATAAACATTTAAAAAAAAATAAGAAACTTTCAAATGTGAAAAGAAAAATAATGGGGCTCAAATTCCAAATGCAACACAATGTTGTTGTATAACCTCCACCATCTACTTAATACTCAATACTCAACACTCCCACTCAGCCAGCACTGTGAGAGGCATAGCTGGAACAGAAATAAAATGAGAACCTCTTCTTGAAAGGTTTTGCACAATCAGTATAGACTGTTAAATCAAATGACAACTACAATTCTACATAAGAAGTTTCTTAGAAGAGCTAAAGGAAAAGGCTAAGACAATATTTGAAAGTAAAATAGAGAAAATGATTACTTTTTTTTTTGAAAAGTGGTTTTTCTACCTTGATGGCATTGTCCTTTTTGTCCACTGTGAAAGGATGAAGGTAAAGAGAGAAATAAAATCTGGATTATGTGATGAATCACTGAGTCTATCACTTTTACAGAAAATTAACATTTTCTGTATATAACTCTGTCTTGTCTTGTAAACTTTCATCTGCAGAAGTGTGATAGCTAAAGATGCTTCTGATAAGAACACTCTTCTGCCCCTCCCTTGGGAAAAACTCCACAAGTATATGCTGCTTTGTGAAATGGGGCTGCCAATCACAATTCCCCACTCCCTAACATTGGGAAAGAATATGTAACACAGGTTGACTATCTGAGTACCCCATGTCCCTGGCCAAAGGCTCTGGTTAAGAGGAAACTCCAGACTAGCTGAACAGAATCTTCTGGAAGGTTGATATGTAGGCCTGCTAACCTGGAGTAAAGAGTCCAGAGCTGCAGCTGACCTTCTTTCCCCCCAAGGTCAGTCTATGAATGATAATACCACACAGAGACAAGGAAAACTCAGAAATGGAGAGTCACAGACTTGACAAGGCTGAGCCCCTGGATCTGGCTGCATCTAGACGCAGATCTAGTGATGGACTTACTGACAGTGTAAACCAATACACTGCCTTTTATGCTTATGTGAGCTTGAGTTATGTGTCTGATCCCCAGAACTCAAGAGTCTCAGCAATAAAAGTTACTTTTTAATAAAAAATCATCTGCAAAAATAAAAAGGAGATACAAAAACTTAAAAAGGACTTCATAAATGTTAATCTGCATAAATGAATAGCAACATTATCTCTTAAAAAATAGTGAATCTTGCAGTTAGTTATTTGAATAGGCTGAGCCTTAATGATCAAGCACCAATAACAATCCAAAGAGGGTATTATAGTCCTCAGGTTATTCATGTTTAAGATAAAGCCCTTTGAGCTGCCAAAATAACATGAATCCCAACTATCAAGAGACAGTGAAATACTGTGAGTGCAATGATATCCAGTTCTTGCTGAGTAGCCAAGACCCATGTGCCATCACTAGCTCTGGTAGAACTGCATGACCTTGTACCTCCTGGGCCTCAGTTTTCTCATTTTTTAACTTTAAAATGCTTGTTCTAAGTCAAATGTGATATCACTTGTTCTTTGCATAGACAAACAAGTGTAATAAAGATAATGCAACCTCAAATAACATAATCCAGTAGCATCATAAAAAGGCAACACAAGAGCAATCTAATAGAGAAGTTCAGAAAAGCTATGGTTCCCAATGACGGATGCACAAGGTTCCATAAAGAAAATGTGTTATTCATCCTTAAAGAAGGGAAGTGAATGGTGTAGTAGAAAATTAGGGCACTGCCCAGGACAAATTCAACAAAGCTCTGCTTTCTACATTTGGTGCTTTATGTGGGATCCTAAAATAGAGCCTCTAAATCAAGCCCCATTATGCAGATGGGGTAATCGCCATGCCCTGTATAATTTTACAGTTGGTGCTTCCTACTCCTATTCAGACATTAATCTCTGGCAGTTTAGCAAGCAGGGATTTACATATTTTACCAATTCAAATCCAGTGTATCTCACCTTTGTATTGACTCTGTATCCAAAACACAAAACTTCTTTGGAAGGCAAATCCTGCCTTTTCATTTTTCTAAGATAACTGGAACACTATCTTCACTCAAATTAGAGGGAAGACATTAAAGGTTTTAATCCCTGGTTCATCTTTGCATTTTGAAGGCTGACTACAATGGTCAGTTTTAACTTGCAAATTACTGACTCAGTAATGCCCTAATCAAGCTTCAAAAATATTGCAAACGTTCTCAAGAGAACCACAAGGAACAAGTGGGTGAATGGAATTAACGGAAAAACTCAATAAACCAAACAAATGTTAATTTGTACAAGTATACAAAAATCAGCAGGGCTTTGACATTCCAGGTATAATCACATTTCATCATTTCATTTTAATATTTTAGGGTTCTGTAAGAATTATTGGAACTCATTTGCAGTGTCCTTACACTGTATACCACTTGTCTCAAAAAAAAACAAAAAAGTGTAGCCAGGTCCCACATATGAATTATGGGAAAAGTGAGATAATCTTTTGCATCCTTTAATAAAGATCTAATAATCTTTTACTTATTTTTAATGTATATTCTTAGATTTCTGCCTTTAAATATTTATTCTAGTAGTTTCACTAAAAAAAAAA